GAATCAGAAACTTTTTTTATTCAATATGGATATGGATACTTTTTGAAAATCATTTTTTTTTTTCACTTACCTCTGGTTCGCAAAAAAACCTCTCTCCTGAGAAGAAGCAGCAAGGAACTCAACGGGACTATTTTTAAAATAAGAGCTTACAGCCATGTATGTTACAATTAACAACACAAAACAAATTAGAAATAGCTTGATAGCGATGATCCTTCCCAGGGTTTATTATCATCCATAACATCCTCAATATTACAATGACAAGTAAATATACAAATTTAGTAAAAATTTTTGAACATTGTGTATGTCAAATTTTGTATATTTTGTAAACTTTCACCAAAATAATTAAGACTTCCGTTTAGCACGATCCTGATCTCGATCCTCGTTCGCTTCTTTTACATTCATATATTTACGAATACATGGTCTCCGGTTAAATGTATTCTTAATTTTGCCCAATTCAAATTATATTGCCAAATTGGTCGATAAACTTCTTGCTAAACTACTTGAATTTGCTTTGTCACTGTTATTTCATTCATTTTATTAACGAGATCAAACCAACTAAATATTCCTTTCTTAATCCTGAATACAAAATCGTCTCGCCGTAAATAATGTAACTTTTTTCATAAACCTATGGATAACTACACAACGATAGTATCATAACGAGTTCGTCTGGATAGCACCCCCCAATCTATTTCGCAGCTGTAAAAGAAACCCAAAATCTGAATATAAAGCCAATGCAATTACAGGCATGAGGGATTCCATTTTATTCCACAGAGGAGACAAAGCGTCTGTAGTCTTCTTGGTATTAAGTTGGTTACAGGTGTCCATGATTTGCAGGAGCCACTTGCTATCAGGTGGAATGTTAGTTCCTTTACCACATCAATTATATAAAATAAAGTATTTATTGATGATTGATGAGAACAGAACCAATACCATAGCACTGCTGGTAGTAGATACTGCGTTCAACTGAATTATAATTGAAAAAAATTGACTTATAATTGAGATGTGAGGTAGCGACGTAATCCACAACCCCATTTCATTATAAAAGGCGACTATGGGAAACTTCAGAAAGATATCATGGCTTCCGAATGATGGATGGCTAATTATGCCACACAGAATAATAACCGCTCCAGTTAAGTATTACTGGAGAGGTTCATGTCCTGTAAGATGTTGAAGAAGAAGAAGAATTTATTTATTCATTTAACTCTTTATTGTAGACCAAAATACAAACTGGCACTGGCAACATGCACTGGTTGCACATTCTTGTTTTCAGGTTTTGAGGTAGAGCGGACGAGGAGATGTGTCATTATTTCCCGAACTTTGCCCAGCCGAGCTGAATCCGTCTACTGAACTCTCGGATGAAGTTGGTTTTACCTGGTCGGACTATTTGTTCCAGGTAAACAAAGTCGTCAACAACTTTGAGCTTAGTACTCCCAACAACTACCGGCCATAAGTGTGACATGGACGTTACACAATATCTTTGTATTTTCCATGTTCATGTTTAAACCTATGCGTAGCGAGACGCGATTGAGGTCATTGAGCATAGTGCTTAGGTCCATATGAGCATAGTGGTTAGATTCTGCTATAAGGACTATATCGTCGGAAATTTGAGGTGAGCGGTGTACTCACCATTGATGTCAATACCGTATCCTTTCCAGTACATTGGCTTGAAAACGTCTTCCAATGCAGCGGTGATGAGTTTCGAGGATATAATATTACCTAGTCTTACAACTCTCTGCAATTGGACAGGTTTTGTACTCTATTTCGGTACTTGGATAGCCATCGTTTCCCTACTGTACAAACACTTCAGCACCTCGATATACCGAGTGTAAGTTTGGCACCGTTTAAGATACTGTAGCACCGCCCAAATTTCGACGGATTCGAAGGTTTTCTCATAGTCCACATACGTCTGGCAAAGTAGGAGATTATGCTCTTCTTTCTTCTAGACAATTTGCCGAAGGGTATATATGTGGTCTATGCTACTAAAACTTTTTCGGAAACCAGCTTGTTCTGGAGGCTGGAAATCGTCTAGTCTGCATGCGAGACGATTCGTAAAAAGTACTGAAAACAGCACGTAGACGCGGCACAGAAGGTAAATTGATCTATATTTCTTCACGAAAGGGTCGTCGAATTTCTTGTAAAATAAGATCACCGCACTTCTGCTCCATGCCTCTGGAGTAGTGCCACCATGGAGGACGGAATCAAAGAGCTTCTGAAGGACTTCAAGTACCGGTTTTCCAACCGTTTTCAAAAGCTCCGCTGTAATTCCAACCTCTTCCGAGGACTTCTCGTTATTAAGGTGCTGGAGAGTCATTCTAATCTCACTCAGACGTCTTGAAAATCATCGGAATAGTGTAGGATAAGACTTGCTCTTGGATCATTACTCAAACTTACGTGCGGCTTCAACGATGACGTGTATTGCTCTCCATAGAATCTTTCAACCTCACTCAAAATCTCAGGTGTCCCGGAGAAGATGCTGTCATACTCAGACGCAGATAGAATTCTGGCAAAGATTTTGGAGCCCTGGTTCCGCTCAATTTTCAATTCCTCAAAGCTGTTGCGTACGTCCCGCCACATTTATTTGGAGATCTGTCTGTTCAGTTGTCTGTATGCTGTCAAATCTACTGAATACTGCAGCTTCATTTCCCGTTTAACAGCCATGAGATTAAGAGTGTGATCGGTGAGTTTTTGTGTTCTTTTGCGGGGGGTCTTGCAGAACTTAGCCCCGACCGCGCGAACAGTTTCTACGAATTTTTCATTCATAATGTACACTGTATTGTAGTCTTTTAGGCACTGAAAACTGTTTTTTATATGTCAGAAAATATAGGCTCAATATCTCGGGCGGTCCTCTACCTACCTCCACGCTCTCACAGAATACCAATAATTTTTCTCAGAACGTAACGTCCACCACGCGACGCTTCTCTCATGATACCACTACTCTACTATTTCGGGAGAAAATCAAACCATTCAGATGCTATGACCGGAAAATTACTAATGGAATATTAAACTAATATGAAGAACTGTATCCATTATTGTTACTAATTGCATGAAGCTTTAAAATATATTATGTACATTAGCCAGCCGTGTATACTCCAGGTATGTAGCTACGCAATCAAAAGAGAGTAGGATTTTTTGATATTGAGTATATACATATATACAGTATGGTTTAATATATATATATATATATATATATATATATATATATATATTAAATCATACTGTATTTATAAAGACATACATGCCTACTTTACAATAAAAACATTATTTATGGAATGGAACGAAAAAGACCCTGAATTTTTAACTTAATCGCCTTAATTCTTAGTAGCATTTATATTCAGAGTTTAAACGCGGGTCAAAAACAACTTTCGTACATACGATAAACCTAACTCAAGAACATTATTCAATTAAGTAGACGTAAAGCTGGGCATTTAAATCTTTTTAGGCTGTTTTGTACGTTTTCGCATCTGGTTATTATTGCAACTTATATGCTTATGTTCAGACAGGACCGGGAACCTACGAATACATTAGAATAATTTATTTGGTTTTGAAAAGAATAAAATAAACCGACAACGTAAATAACTTATTTGTTGTAGTTTTGTATGATATTTAATTCTCAACAAAACTGGTATATAGTTTTATATTTTTGCTAGTAAGTGAATTTACCTATTCCACACGAGAAACCGAAACAGATGAGTAGTACCATCTTCCTGATAACAACTCAAAATAAAAATATAATCTAAAGTTGCTAACCTGCCTGCCAAGCATGACAACTATTGCAAAAACAGATGTATAGCAGTAGGCTAATTTAATGAAGTAAATTTTTAAAATACTTTAACTGGTAATGAAAATTAAAAAATCAAAATGATAGCGCCACGCTACATCTGTAATATCGATACCTCCCACGTAAGTTGTTGTATGCCACAAAAATGGCGTTTGGCGTTTTTACAAAAAACTATCCTAATTTGCATTATTTAATGCATTCAAAGTGGAAAAAAACCAAAATACGGTTTTTTAAGGATTTGCCAGACTTATAATGTTGTAACTTTCAAACGAGAACGGACTACAGCATTGTATAGACCTTTACAATAGCTTACGCGGGGTGCAGGGCGAGGAGAATCACGCGCCCGCGTCTCGTATTGGACACATACAACAGACCACGCCGGACTTTCAACCGGCCGCACGCATGATGTAGGAACCGTTTAAGTTTTTTCAAAAATAACTTTATACGTAATTGAATTACTTCAAATATATTATAACAATGAATCGTACCAGGATAATAACAAGAGGACGTAGACTATGTGATATGGTCAATAATACGAGTACACAAAATAGAAACTCCGAGACACCCATTGAAAATAACAATGTTTCATTAGATAAATAGAACTAAACAGCTTTCGTGATTCAAGTCTCCGAAATATCACAGGTATGTTTCTTTTTGTAATATTTTATTAGCATTAATAAGGTTAATGTTACTTTTTTTGTCGTGATACCAACCTAAAATGTTGTATAAGTTACTTACAACAGTATACGTCGTTGAGCGTTCATAAAAAATGTTGTATGTAATACATATAACATTTTACGTTTACATTTAAATAAAAATATTGTTGTATGTAATAGATACCACATTTTACTTCGGGAGTTGTTATTCAAAACTTTGTTGTATAGTGACATGCTGTATTTTACTTTGTTATTCCTTTTTCGTTTTCGATGATGTATGTCAAGTCTTTTCTAAAATTGGATCTTGCAACATTATAAAATGCCTTGCCCTGACTGACTGACTTAATGCTTCACTAACGCAGGTCGCACAGGCAACTATGTGCGACCTGCTTTGGTGGATCGTTAAGTCAGTCAGCCAGGGTAAAGCATTTTATATGTTGGAGAGGTAAAAGGTGTATGTCTTCCCTAAACGATGTAGGCATCAGGACATACGCGGGTTGCAATCAAATTAAAACGTTAATACTGTTTCAGAGTCACCATTGCCAATAAGTTTTAATGAATCTGAAATGAAAGAGTTGGCAAATATAATAGATGGAAACATCTTTGACAACTTAGAAGTAGCAACAGATTCTGATACTGCAAATCTTGAGACACCGCACCCTTCCCCCTCTTGTAGTATCAATCACTTGGACTACGACTGTGATAATGATTTCTGCCCATATTATATACAAAAAGAAAATTTATCAGCGTTCGATATTATACCTCAACCCTCACCAGCATGGATTTCTAGCTGCTCGACGTATACAACCATGAACAATAGTCCGCTGTCGGATATTTCAAATAATAGTCCCACCACAAGTGACCGCTACCGTCGTCCATCAAGGAAAGATAAAGGTAATGTAAGAAAAAGACATTATAAAGAATGGATAGATAATAAAAGAAAGTATTTACGTAATTTGGGAAAAGAATATATTTCGAGAAAAGGTAAAATACAAGCAAGCAGAAAGATGGGCCCACCATGTCGCTGCCGCAAGAAGTGCTTTGACAAATTAAGCGAAGAACAAAGAAAGAAGATTTTTGAGAGTTTTTGGAGCTTAGGCGATCGAGAAAAGCAATGGATGTATGTGGCTAACTTAGTAAAAAAGCAAAATAAACGTAGAGTCTATACAGATACAGTTTCAAGACGTAAGTACACGTTAAAATACTTAATACCAGTAGGTCTTGACAATGATAGTATTAATTATGTGGATGTGTGCAAAAAACACTTTTTAAGCACTTTGTCTGTCAGTGATCAGGTTATTTATAAGGCTCTAGAAAGGATGGATACGACAACGGGAGTACTAGTCCCAGATAAAAGAGGTAGACATTCAAACCATCCCGTAAAAAAAACAGATTGGGTAATAACCAGCGTGTGTGATCACATCAAGAGCTTGCAGCCGGTTGAGTCACATTATACGAGGCAAAGGTCAAACAAATTATATTTGGATGGAGATTTAAATTTTCTTAAATTATTTGAAATGTACTCTGAGTGGCTTCAGGCTAACACACAATATGAAGAGAAAGCTGAAACCGAACGTCAATATCGAGATATTGTAAATGAAAATTTTAAGCTCAGTTTTTACGTGCCTAAGAAAGATCAATGCGATCAATGTCACATTTTTAGAAATATTGACGGTCCTACTGAACAACAAATTGCAGATTATTAAAATCATGTCACAAACAAGAAGTTATCCCGACAAATCATGAAATCTGATAAAAATGACAGCAAATCTTCACAAGGTAAAATCGTCGCAGCTACTTTTGATTTTCAAAAGATTCTTAATGCACCTCATGGCCAATTGAGTATTTTATATTACAAGCGGAAGTTGTCGGTTTTTAATTTTACCTTGTATGATCTAGCAAATAAAGAGGGACATTGTTATATGTGTCACGAAGGAGAAGCTAAGCGTGGTTCTAATGAGGTATCAAGCTGTCTTTCTCATTTTATACAAAATATGCATGAACAGGGTGCAAAAGAATTCAGATTCTGGTCTGACAATTGTGCCGGTCAGAACCGTAATCGCATTGTTTTTGCGTTTTATGTGTATATTGCTCATAAACTTAACATTACTATAAAACATACCTTTCTCGAAAAAGGTCATACCCAAGCAGAGGGTGACAGCGTACACGCTTTAATAGAAAGATCATCTAAAAATAAACTTATATATACACCTCTGGAATGGTTTAGCTTGGTTAGATGGGCTAAACAGGATGGAAAATCATATAACGTCATAGAAATGAAGCACACCGATTTTTATAACTTTAAACAACTTTTGGACGGGCGTAATTGGTCAAAAAATATAAGTGGAGACGTAGTTAAATGGAACAAAATAAAAGAAGTGCGGGTATGTGCAGAAGATCCTTTTAAAATTGAATATCGGTACGATTTGGCAAACAGTAATGCTATGACGATTGCCATTAATACCAATACCCGAAGACGCCAGAGAAATAGTATGGCTGAGCTATGCCCTCTCTATTCCAACCATCTTCCCTTAACAAAGGCAAAATATGATGACTTAATGAGTCTCTGTCATAATGGAATTATTCCAGCCACATATCATGACTTTTTCAAGAGTCTATCTTTTGTTGCTTGCTCTCATAATGTTGAATTTTCTGATTCATAATAGTACTTATAAAAGTCTTTTCTTTTTTTAAATCATTTATATTTCTTTAAATTTCATCTTCGTTTTATCATTGTTTTTTCAAAATAATAATAGTTTTCACAGCTCCAATAAAACCAAAAATTTGGTTTGTTTAATTAAAAATAACTCAACTGTTTTCAATTACTTATGTATAATTTCTAATAAAAAAAATATTCCTCTAAAGCCAAGGATAGTTACTATGCCAATAACTATAAATGGTTACCTGATTTCTAGTTACCTTAATGTTAAGTTGATCTCATAGAAATTATTAAGTAAGTCATAATTATTTTTGTTATTTTATGATGATTTTTTATGATTCTATTTTCACAATCCTAAGAAGAGTTTGTTATGTTATTAAAATGTAATAGAAAGAGTGTACTATGTTTTCATTTATGTCCTTTTTATTTTGTTTCAAAATAACCTAAGTTTGATAATATTATAAGCTGTTTTTTTTTAATATTCATTATTTTATTTTTATATCGGTGTTCTCTAAGATTTTAATGCCAATTTATAAATATTAGGTAAGTACTATTATTGCAATGTTTATAGAAATGTTCCTAAAAATATAATAATAGTAAGTATTTGTGTTGTTCCTATTAAAAAATAAAGAAATTTATCCTTGACAATATGTCTTTTTATTTTTTAACCTAGTATTTGTTTACATATATTAATACAAACCTAATATTTTAACCGATGTAATTTGTTATTGCCACATACAGTGGAATGAGACTTATATTTTTCAATGTATATTGTTGTAACTATTATATACAACAACTGACGAAATCTAAACTCCGCGGTATAATATTGTAAGTATGAGATACGACAAATGTCGCAGCCTGTACTCCGCAGTAAAATGTTGTATGAACAATATCTCAGAAAATATACATTTTTTTTAATTTATCTTTCAACTGTAATCAAGAATACTATAAATTACATTCATATACCAAATTTCACAAAAATACAATCATAAATGCAGTTTTTAGTCCAATTTGAATCTTTAAAATGCTCTATTGTAAAATTGCAGTTTTGGGGATACAACAACTTACGTGGGAGGTATCGATATGCTTGCAGCACGAATAAGTCGGAAGGTTGGAAGGATCACGCTTCCGTGGAAGCCATCGGGAAATGCAGCAAAATTCTGTTAAATATTGTGTGTTGAGTGAAGAGAAATGTCAACCATTTTCTGATAACGAGGCATTCCATCTTAATCAGTAAGGGTGTTAACATAACTGGAATTTGATTCTTCATAGAAATAAATATATACTTATTTTATAAAATAAGATCTGTTGTCACTATTAATTGACAAATAGGCATTATTTATATTTACATATATCATTATGCATTAACATGCACATGCACAAACACACACGCACGCACACACACACACACACACACACACACACACACACACACACACACACACACACACACACACACACACACTTTATGGTTAACTTGGGAACTTTTAAATCTGACACAGGCTGCACTAACTGCATTTGTTCTCTTCCAAGACTTGCATAATGTAACTGTTACAAACGACATTAGATAAACAGCACTCAAGTGACCAATTAAAATGAGGAATTGGCTGTTACTTTGAACACAGCGAAGGCATTAGATTGGGTTTGGTACAAAGCGCTTCTTTCGATGAGCTCCCTTCCTATGAGCTTTCCAAGAAATTGTGCAATTGGATCACCAGCTTTCTTGCAGATCGGAGCATCAAGCTCATAGTAGACGGTGTATGCTCCGATTATAAGCTTATTAATGCCGGTGTTTCACAAGGCTGCTATCACAAACGCTGTTTCTTCTGCATACTAACGATATGTTGCAAACCAGTATCATTCATTTCTATGCACACACACACACACACACACACACACACACACATACACTCACACACACACACACACACACACATACACTCACGCACACACAAATCCAAACAAAGCGGTGAACTGAAGTTAGGGAAATTTTGAATAGGGCAACGGAACCCAGGGGGCCAGCAGTAGGCTGACTTTATGGAGCAAAAGGGACTCTTTATGATGAACTCTTTCTTTCAGAAGCAGCCCCGCAGGAAGTGGACCTGGTCGAGAATGGTTCAACAAAAAATAGGATTAACTTCATTATGATGACCAGACGCCAACTGTTCAGTGATGTCTCAGTGACCGCGAGGGTGAAAACTGGCAGCGATCACCGAATGGTTAATGGCACAATGAACCTAAACGTTAAGTTGGAGAGGTCTCGTCGAATGAAGTCAACGCCTAATGTTTGAAGTAATTAGCTTAGAAAGTAATTAATTTCTTAATATCATTACGGGGATTACAACTTTTAAATTTAGTGGGTATCGCGGCAGACCGGATGGATTTAAAGAAATTAAAATTTTAAACTGTTTATGAGTCTGTGTATGGGGCACTGAGTCGAATGCCTTTCTACATTCTATCCAAGCAGCGGAGAAGTTCCGAAGGTTGCGTTTCCTCACTTTGCCAATGACCGCGTCAATGAGGAGTGGTTTCTTAGTTCCTTAACCACCGCCCCGATATTCATTTTGAGCGTGCGACATTACCTGATTTAAGTCCAGGTGACAATTGATTCTCGCGCTTAAAATTGGATGATAATGTCTTGTGTATATGGTCGTTAAACACGTGATAGGGCGGTATTTGCTCAGGTCTGTGGTACCCAGGTCCTTAGGGACCAAATGAGTGATACCAGTAATGAAGTGGTTTGAGAGCGACTTCTGGTTGAGAGCCTCTTGAACCTGTCGGACGAGCACAGCGTGACACACGACGAACCTTTTCAACTAGTAGTTACGCAGCCCGTCTAGCCCCGATCTTTTCTAGTTCAGGGCCCTACGGACCGCCTCAGCTACGTCATCAAGCCTCTGAACCCCGTCATCATAACGATGACGGGGTTCATGGGCGTAATCCCCGCAAACTGACTCGCCACAACTTTATTATTATTATTTTGGGGTATCTATATAGTTTTCTCATCTGGTTGGGTTCCATAAATATATAATTGCGAACTAAAATGATAAATATACATAAATAACAATAAACTAAAATAAATACATAAATAAATAAAAGCCCAAGCAGATGGAAGCTCTCGGCAGGGGTGACCATATGGCCGAGGGTTAGGGGGGAAAGGGAAAGAAATCGGCGGACAATGCAGGCGGTATCGAGGAGCACCGCATTCTATATTTGAGCCCGAAACAGTCCGTTACGGAGTCCCAGTCGCCTCAAATGACCCGAGAGGCTGACTGGGATTAGCCCGTTTGCAGAAACGACTACAGGTTATTATTATTGTGGGGTATCTATTTAGTTTTCTCATCTGGTTGGGTTCCATAAATATATAATTATAAATTAAAATTAAAAGATAAATATACATAAATATCAAGAAAATAAAATAGGAAATATTAGATGTTTGAATGAGTTGTGTATGAATGATTTAGACTTGAATACTGTGTGGGACAATATTAAGAAAGGTTTGGTGGATGCCGCCACTGAAGTATGT